GAGAATTTTGCAAATAAACTAAATATTACAGAAAAATATTCCAAAGAATCTCCAGAATAACATCTTCAGTAGCTTATCTTCAGAATAATAAAAATTCTATGTTTAGAGAGAATAAAAGCAATTGTACTGGAAAGAATTACAGATGTAAGTCATTTTATACTTTGTGTTACATGGCGTACATATGTGAATCATTAGCATACATATTTAATGGCATACAGATGTACGATGACTTACAGATATAAGTCATCCTGAATTTTGCATTATATAGGGTAAAAGTAATCGAAAATAATGATTTCTGCCTTGCAGTCTTTGGTATGCTTGAAGTTCATAGTGTACGCTTTTCAAATATTTCTGAAATTATCTGTGTTAGTTTGTAAGACTTTCACTGTGTAAATCTCAGTTACTGTAGAAAGTGACGAGTCTTAAGAACTAGATAGCGAATAATCGCATAAGTTCGTGTGACAAGAAACAACAAGACAGAAGGGTAACTAACCCTTTATTATTTCAATAAGGTTTAACAAAACTCCGCTGGGAGTGTACAAAAAAACCGACACTTGGGCTTGAACTTAAGAGACTAAGAATTAAACTAACACTAAGATTAACTAAAGAAATATAGCCGAAGCTATCAAGATTCAAATCGAGTTAGGCCGTTAATTTATTTGACTACGAAGCTTAGCAAGGGCCTGAGTACGGCCGAGCGTAATAACAGCTTTCAGAGAGAGTGGCCAAAAAGGCAGACGCGCGTAAATCAGGAACTCTGATTCTCTGTGCCTCTGTAAGTAACTTCGTGGTTTAAATACCGCTTCTCCTCATTAAATATTCAGCAAGATTCCAAAACTACGTTCTGGCCGGAAGTAGTAAGTTGAAGTTAAGAATTTGACAGGAAAAAAACTTAAAATTTAACCATTAATAAATTAACATAATCCTTACAAGTTATAGGGAACCAGTTTACAAACCAATGATCAGATATTTCATATCTCGAAAGGAAATATGCAATGTGAAAGGAAAATTTGTCATTCTTTCGAACGAACGATATTGTTCGTAATGTACTTTATTTATATTTATGAAAATGAAAACACTTAAAGTTTTCACACTTTTAAGGTACATGTTTATGCGGTCAGTGGGAAGTACTTGCTTTCATTAAAAGATTCCTAACACAAATTTTCCCATATTCACGTTCTGCGCAGTAAGGAACAAAGATACGAATTGCGGGAAACCTTTCCATTAAGAATAGAATCACAAAAGAAAATGAAATTTTAATTGTTTTCAATTACTTACTCATTAAGCGTTCATGTCTGGAAAACGTGTAGTAAAATTTCTCAAGAGTTATTAATTTTATTATTTCACTAAGGCAATCACGTCTGTGAAAGTCTAGCAAATCTAATTTACTAGATAATTTTTAAACTGTTTGAACAGCTCTGGTTTCAATAACTGTTTAGTCACGTGCTTCTAACCCAATTCTTCAATAATAGCTATGAGGAAGAAGCACTCTTATGGGTGATCTGATTGTTATTTAGTTTGAAACACAAAATTATTTTTATTAATGTACGGCACAAATTGAATAAAACTTCTACTCAAAAATAAAATCAAACATCAGAATTACTTCATAAATATACTGCTTAAGTTTATAATTACAATGAGGAAAATAGTCCAAAAATATAATAGTATACAAAAATAAATATTCAATTTAAAGTATTCAGTTATCAGAACAATCAGAAAAATTAACTGAAAATAAAACACCAGCCATTTTTATGAAAATTTATTATCGAGTAATACCCGTATTTATATCCTTGCTTTAGAATTAGTCTACGAGAATGAACACAAAATACAGGCAGTTTTTATTTGCATTTATAACGACCATAAAATTAAATTTACATCTATCTTTTTGGATACATAAATATGGGGACCATCGCAGCATAAAAGATTAAAACTAAATGTTAGGACTCCATTTTATCATTCATTGCATTTCTTCATTTACTCATTCATTTATTAGATTAGAGTTCGTCAGAATTTTAATCTAGTAAAGAATCTACCTATATATATTTAGCTTATTTTCCAGTGTAGTCTATTATTTTAGAATAAGCACTTCGGCGTCATTTTAAACGCGCGGCTTGCCTCGTAACTACGGTAAAGGTAACTGAGAGAAATAGTCGAATTCCCAAATTTTTGTTCCCATTTAAATTTATTTAGCGTGTTTCTCTTCCTGAATAGCTTACAAATAAAGGCTGATTTGAGTTATACTCTTAAATGAGATGCAAAATATAAGAGTGTGTTGTGTTGTTGTGACTTATCTCACTTGTCTGACAGTAACATCATAATAAATCCATGAAATTCATCGTAGCAAGGGCAACTCCGCATGTCGTTATCAAGAGCCTTAAGCATCATACAGGTGACATTACGACTTTTCTCAGTTCCGTTCCCAATTTTGATGAAGGAGTCCTGGGAAGAAGAGTTTTTCCCACCGCTCTTTCCTTACACACGTTGCGATCATAACTGAGAAGGGTAAAAGACCTTGAAGTGAGTATTATAAAATAACAGACTGTAGTCATATTTACTGAGTAAGGGCTTCAAAGGCAAATCTGTGAAGAAAAACTGTTTCAATCTTCGTTGGGTTTTACAAAGAGGTAAATTTCAGGATTTTCGTTTCTCAAGTGTTCTCGATTTTTCTTTCATCACTGGAACTCTCTCTTGTAATAAGCATATGAACTTGGAATGGCTATGTTTTCAAGTCTTGAAACGAAGCATATGTTTACACCTAATTTTATATGTCTTATTTTAAGACATGTTGATGTTTTACTTTGAAAATCTCATTTCTCTCATCCACTGATATGTTTATTTTTTATTCGAATACATTCAGAAATCGGATAGTACATATAACAGAAAATTCAGAGAACTGCTGTTTCACACCGAATTTTTTCCAAATTTAGTCAGGAATCAAATATACAAGAAGCAGTTTCTACATTTAGAGGATCAATCCTAGCACTTGCAAAATGATATCTGAAATCTAGATGAATTTAAAAGTCTTCTAGCTTTCAGCATCTTTCCTTAAAAAATATCAAAATTTCTATGCATCATTCTGTGCTGGGACTGAGGACCAATATTTGCACCCCGGACTTACAAATCAATTTTTAAGTCCCTCCACCCCGCTTTCACTAAATAACGAGACGGGCAAGACGCGATCAAAGGCAAATAAAGTCAGTAGGTTTCTGTTTTCGCTCTAAAATCTTTACATTCCTCAAGTATGATTCGAAATCTTATAAATTTGTCAATTATTTTTGTCCTGTCCTGATAATTTTCAAAACCATGTTCAACAGCATTTTAATATATAATAGGACTGATGAATTGTTTCTTCTAAGCTCAATCTACCTTGTTTCAAAATGTTCCCGTTATCGTGGCGATCATAGAGGTTGTAGTGCTTTGAGTTTAATAAGCTAACACATGGGTTTGTCAAGTGTAAAGAAGAGGAAAAGTTTCCAAAATCCTCCTGGAGTAAAAAGCAAAGGTTTAAGTTTTTGAAGATCAAATATATTCCTAACCCCTAAATTTCCCTTTCCTGATTCGCCCCTAAATTTTGATTCTTAAAAACTTCTAAATTTTCTTGCATAAAATTAATATGAATATTTCCACTGAAATCCTGTCGGTGGAGTTTAAAACTTTTTCCGAGCTCCAACTCTCTTCTTTCCACTAAACACTACAGTTCCACATGAAGCTTTACAACGTCTACTGTTTCATCACCGTCTCAAGTTATATTCGTTTCAGAGCAGCGATGCTCTAGCAAGGGTTCGAATAAAGGATCTTCGATTTCAAGATAAGCCTGCTTTCTAATTATACTACGAAGGCATTCACTAAGGAAGGAGAAAAATCTTACATTCTCCCCCAATTAACGATTGACGAGGACAGTCCCAGTAGCCTTATTCTACTGTTAACGTATTGTGGTTCCCCGCTTTTTCGTTAGAGCGCTGCAGCAGAGATTAAAAATTTTTCGAAGTCAGAAAACCGACGAAATCCATACCGCCTTCCTGGGGACTCGAAGTCAATATCTTCCGATTGCTTGCAGGACGCGCTGATCAATAACACCGAAAAGGCACGTGATAAGGAAGGAGAGAAACCTTGCAATGAAAAACAGCGAAAATATTTCGTTAATCACATTTATAATTTAATTTCTTCATATTTATTAATATATATATTTTCGTTATTTAAAGTGTGTTATTTTACCTTAACCGTTTAATTTTCATAACCACGTAAACCAGTTCTCCAGGGTAAAATGTCTGAATATACAGTTAAAATATACATATACAGTTAAATTATTGAGATAATTTTAAATTATATTATGAATTATTTATATTTCTGTAATTTTTCAATTCCCCTCGGTTAAACTGCTATTTTGAATTCGTGTACATGTTAACCCTGAGTGAAACCATAAAAACGTGGATGTCACCTTTCTTTGCGCTTTTCGCACTTGACATTATCGCTGCAAATTTGGAGCTAGCAGTATTTTTGTTTGCATTGCAAACTCTAGCGTTTCTTAACTACTTAAATTTTAAATTAGCTAATAATTAGGAATAAACAAGCATTCTGATTTATACGTTTTCTAGCCAGTTGTAATAAAATTAAAATAGTGTCACAGTTTCACTCTTTTTTTCTCTGTACAATCTGCTTGAGATATTTCACCGGTCTTTGTTTGATGTTGCATTTGTTTTAATAACAACAGCATTTTTGAATTATTGTGCACTAAATATTGTACTACGCAATATTCGAATTCAAAGAGAAACAAAGAGGAAATTCTGTTTTGCAACTGATAGAAAGCAGGAGTTTAAATTAATTATCTGGAATTCGGAACTAAATTTTTGTCTTAGCTTTCCGCGATGAAACCTGAGAAAACACAAAGTAATCAACTGAATATTTATCCTACTTCCACCTGTCAGCAATCAAATCTTACGCGTACCATCTCCTTTGCGTCATTTAAGCTACAATTTGCCATCCAGCAGTATAAATATCGCAGCAGTTCTGCAGTAGCTTCATATCTGAGGGACATTCTCCAATTCTATCTTCCAGAGAGAGAATATCGTAGAAGTATCATCATCATGCAAGTATATGAAATTGTAGCATTAGCTTTCGCCATCATTATGGCTGCGGCAATGGACGGTAAATATAAATTTTAACAACACTTTTTTAAAAACTTTCTTTGCTAATGTTTGGTTAGAAATGCATCAGATTATAAGATCTATTTTTTCTAGCTGTCATGCAAAGTGTCTATATTCAAAGTTTAACCTTTCGGCTTCTCGCATAGACGGAAAGAGTGCACAACAGGGAAAGGGTGTGAAAAAAACCTTTTTATTTACCACAACTCTTTAACAGAAAGGCACGGATTTTTGTGCTTACAATAGCGACTGAGCAACCTACATTGGCGATAGCCTAACTAAACGTACAGAATGCGTATCTGCAACTAAGATTAACAGCTGGAGGGCAAAACAGCAAACGTGGGCTACACTAGCGAAATTACGCTCGGTCTAACCTTCTCGTTTCTACTGTTTGAATACTTTCGCTTACCTACTTAATTTGCATTCTGGTGAAAAAATGCGAGGGGAAATAGAGAATTTAGAAAAGATACCAAACTTAAAATAACTGGTAGGTGAACCGAGAGGAACTCTACAAAATAAGATAAGAATAGATACCAAAAGCATATTTTATTTTACCTTTTGGAAGGAAAGTGCATATGTGAAAAGTGAAAGTAGGACACTTTTATTTTAAGTATTCAGATTCTGTACAGCGGTTACATCTACTGATAAGGAAATTTTATTGCATAAATACGTAATCTTAATTAAATGTATTTATTTTTAACTGCTCAGTTTTCTTTGGTGTTAATAGAAAAATTATTACTGAATACATATGCATAACATTCTGTTTACGTGTAAAATAGGAACAGGTAAAGTACATATCATAGCTCAATAAGCAATAGCAAAGATTTAAATTCGGTTATTATTTGACTGTCACTCTAAAATTTTTTGATACAGTTAATTGGTACAAGTTAAGAAATTTTGGTAGTGTTCAGGGTAACTTTCACTAATATCAGTTCTCATTTGTAGGCGAATGTTCTAAAGATTAAATGCTTTAAGCTATTAGTTTTTTTGGGGAAGGGGAAATAATGAAATATCTGCTTTAATAGATTCATAAGTCTAGTCTGAAGAATAAAAACGAAGGCCACATAAATTTTGGTTTAGATTAAAAAATAGGCAAATGTCACACATAGTAAGACATAGAGACATATATCACATAATGAAATAAAATTGTAACTCTTGTTGGATGAGAAGATGTATTATGGAAGCGGAACATTTGTTCTTTAAGATTAATTTCTAAATTAATTTCTTGAAAATACGTAGCATTGAAACACTTAGGTGTGAGTGTCTTCTGTCCCTCTAACAGTCCTGTACTTCTGAACGAAAAGCCATGCATTAGTTTTCTCGTTGCTCGCTGTTTTTTTGTCACCATTGTCGATTTTGTGTCGTCTGAAAAGATATATATACTTTATTTTCTTGAAGAGTTGAATGGAGGGATGGATATATGTTTAATCACTAGTTATGATTTTAGATGTAATATAAATCATTAATTAATTTAAAAGTTCCTTTTCTGATTCTAACATGCCCCACATTTTGGTTGAGGTATAGCTGCGGATACAGTGCTACGTTCTTTATGAATTATGTAGTGGAAGAGCGGTATCTTTATTGTAGGTTTATTTCAGCATCATTTAGTAGGTACATTGATTAGCATCTCCAAAACTTTTTTCTGAAACTGCAGCTGACAAAGGTCTTCCTGTATGTTCGTTAAGAAGGAAAGAGTTTCCATATTAACGAAATTCTGTCAATCATCTGAATACAGTAGCACGAGATGGAGATCAGTTTATACGTAGTAACTGCAGACGTTAAAGACATAAAATAAATTTACTCCCAATCTTAAAAAAATCACAGCATGATAATACTCCATCACGAGCACCATTTTACTTTCTTTCAAAATTTATTCTGTATAGATAAATGGCAATTGTTGTCACAAATTATCGTCTGCTAAAATAAAAGAGTATTAATTTACACATCTAAAGGAATAATTTTCTTTTAATACCTATCGTCTACCCTTGTTTAAAAAATTTCAGAGTTATTAAAGTATATGGTTGAATACTTGAATCTGATGCATAGGTTCAAGTATTTTTATTTTATATTCGTATCTTTATTCTTAGTATATGACATAAAATTCAGGGCAAGGATAGAGATTAAGAGCACTAATGTATACCTTTTTGTGGTAATATTTTAAACATTCCTCATAAAATTATAAAGACCTTTTTAAATCCTCGGAATTTTTCGGAGATACTTTTAGTTTTATTTTCCGACGATTTAAGGAAAAGGTCTAAAGATAAGCAAACTGCTTTGAATTAACTGTACCTGAATTCACTGCACGCGATCGCAAACCCATAATTTTAGACTTTGACTGAAATACTAAAATCAAGTAGGTAAATATACAAAGGTTGTGTTAGAAAGGGAGTATAAAAAGAAAAGGTCTAACAAAAGTTTAATTAAGATGCAAATCAAAAGCTGCAAACAAATCTGTTCAAACATGGTTTTAAGTATTATTCAATTAACCATCTAAATATAGTACATTGCTTCTACATCATCGGGGTATGGTGCATTTAACGTTACTTCGCATCAACTTCTTAAACGTGGCAATATTTTCTGTATCTCCATCACTGAAACAGAGAGAATAAACAAAATAAATTAGGTAAGATGCAACTGTTCCTTTCATTTTCTCTAATGGTCATATGTCTTGCGACCAATAATGAAGATGCAGAACATCCAGACCAAAGTGTCAGGTGTCGTCTCATTAGGGATAGGAGAAATGTATCATTTTGAACCTGGTGACTCTCAGACAAAATTCTGGAATTTTATTGCACTTAGCACTTCAAATTTGGTACTATCTGGCTATCATTAGCTGTTTATAATATTATGCTATTTCTGAGCGTAGTTTTTTGTAATTTCAGACGTTTTTAAATGGATAAATTAATGTCCATTAGTGCCGATGTCAATTTATTTCTATATATTTTTACTTTTATTTGTTTTGAGTAAGAATTTAGAAACGTAAAATATCAAACGCTCAGCTGAATCATCACAGACTTACAATTTTCAAATAAAATCGTTGCGTTTTTCTTTTTACAAAATCAGGAAAATTTCAACATTGTTAGGAACACGCTTTGCGAATGCGATTTGGAGACGAAAGATCATCTGCCTCAAACGTCCGGCGCCTGCGCCTTCTCATTTATGGTAAGATATACGTAAGTATGAAAGAGATATACGAGAGTATTTCGTTAATATACAGAGTGCGCCAATGTTGTAATGAGGGTTTCGCTGCTGGATTCCTTGGAATTGAGCAGCAAGTTCATGCCCTTTATAAAATGCTTATAAGTGCTGTCCTAATGTGTCTCACACGTGCTCGATTATAGAAAACTCTGGATATATGGTAGAAGAGAGGACGCTTGTAAGATTATAAACATATTGTTTGAAAACTTAATGAAGTTTGCAAACGTCGTCATACTGTCAAAAGATGGGTTTTGACGGAGGCTACAGGACTAGCAACACAAAAGTTGTTAGAATGTCATTGAAGTATCGATGGTGGTTAATATATTAAGAAGAGTCCCTAAAGGTGCCAGGCTATCATACAGGAATGGCTTCTTAAATGGTACAGCTTGGTATGATAGACGTATACCATTTCATACTGATGTAGGCTGAAGCTCGTTGATAAGAAGTAATATTACTCGAATTCTTCAATATTCCAAAGAAGCGGAAAACATCATTCATATCACAATGCTATGTGACGCCAATCTGATTTAGGTTTCCTGGGTGAGACATCAAAATACGCTCTGTTCTCTATGTCAGAGTACGGAAAGACCGTAACCGCCTACAGCTGTAGTTACCAGGATTCTTGCAACAGGGTTTCGTCACACTATAATCCAAGAACTGTGAGTAAATATTTTTAATTAAGATGTAAGAAATTTTCTACAAGATCTGACGACTTTATGAAGAAATGGTTATTCTAGCTCTGACTTATTAACTACAAATATATTAAACATACTAAATATTCCAGAAGGATAAACGAAAGAAAAGAAAAGTGAGAAATAAAATTCTGGTTTATTGCTTTCTTTTCAAACATACTAAATTTTTCAAATTAAACATGCTAAATTTTCCAGTTGTTTTCTCACCTATCCCACTCAATAAAATCAATGAAAAATAAATTAAAAAATAACATAATGACTTTTTTCAATTCTAAATTTTATTTTAAGACGTTACTTCAATTCATGTTTAAAATGTTTTTAAAATTCTTTCATTTTACTGTCAGTTGAATGACACACATTTTATATTCGATTTATTTCACAGGTGCCGGCATGCCAGGTGTGCCTAAATTACCAGGTGCATAAAGGAAAGGAAGAGATGCAGCATTCGGGAGACTTCAGCTTTTTGGAATCTCACCCAATGAAGTGCTCTTGTTACCAAAAGAGATCTGAAGTTGAACTTGCTTAAATTTTCCAGATTGAAATAAAGCAATAATTACTTCAGAATTTGTGAATTTTTATATTTTTGACTTAAAAACATTTGACATTTTTATATTCGATAAATTCCATTTTTATATGTTCAACAAATTTTATATTTGAAAACAAAAGCTATGTATGTTAAACATAAAAGGCAAGTAAGCATAGTAATTAATTTGAAAACGATAATTTTACTTTCGGCTTTCAAATTTTATATTGTGAATTCTTTATAAACATATCTAAAAAATTTGCATCTTGGATAGGTTTTACAATTTATTTGTATTAAGTGAAATCTTATGTTCATTATAAATATCACTACCGTTTGTCAGATATATTTATTTTAATTAAAATATTGAAAACCTAAGTATTTAACCTGCCTATTGAAACCTTTGAAAGCATTACTTAGGGTCACATATCAGAATGGAAGAATTTGGATGATATCATTAATGGAAATTTTAATGGATTAAAATTAAAGACACAGTAAGCAAACCTAATAGATTTTACAAGAGAAATTTATTTTTATGATAACATTGGTTCAAGCAAAGTCTTCGAGATAGGCACAGGAAGTTCATTTCCCCGACTTAAGAAATAAAAATATATATCGCCGTTATCTAAAATTCATACAAAAGAATCTTTGCAAAAATTGAATTGAAATTAAATTTCTGTAGGTTGATTTTAACCAAAAGTAATTTTTTTAGTTGTAAGCTAGTTAAATTTTCAATTTCGTTTCTCGCTGTCTCTATTAATGTAACATTTCGGTAAAAAGTATTAGGAAATAGTAATTTTGTTGAAGCAAATTAAACTTGTTAAAGCAAACGTATAAATTTTGTTAAAGCAGTGAGATGATTAATGATACATTGTCAAAATGAAAGATACAAACAGAATATGTAGACATAATTACGCTAGAGAAAACTTTCGACTATTTTACTGAGAAGAGATAAACATCTCTGAGGTTTCGTTGAACCGAAAGTAAATGTTTTAGATATTCACAGGAAAAGCTAAAAAACAAAATAAAATATTTGGAGTAACTTGCTAATATTATTCGCTCTAAATGTTACTGCTGCTAACATTATTTGCTACGTACTGCTCTGTTCACTTCTTTGGAGACATATGGACTTTCCTATTGCATATTTATTTATTTGTGCACAGCTCTTCAAATCCACCAGTTAAATTTACGGATTTTGAGGTGAGCTATACATGCTTTAAAAATAAGATATAAAATACTATTAACATAGAAAATATTGAATATAAGGTTTCGTCCATAACGTCAGCCGTTAACTAAACGGTCTAAACTAAATTATAACTTTAAAACTTATGAAAGTAAATGTTCTCTCAGATTACCTTTGTAAGCGAATGTTTAATTTTTAAGACTTTATCTTCCATCTTAATATCAATTTCCCGCCTTTTCTTCTAGTAATAAAAATTCTGCTTTGCACTAGCCATATCCAAATTCCAAATTCCTCATCAACCAATTTCTGGTGCCATCCTAAATTCCACAGACCCCTTTTGAACAAAAAACAATTTATCTTGCGGGTGTAGTTAATTTTCTGCAAAGAAATAATTCAACTAGAATTTTCCCAGTAGTATCATGTTTAGTCGTCCTTAAGGCAAATACAAGCTCACTGACAGTCATACCAGCGTCGGTGATAATTATTTATATAGCTGTGAGTTATTTTAACTATGTTTCTATTTAACCGTGCCTTAAAGATAGAACTTCCAAGATTTGACTGACAAACTGTCTTCCATTATATGAAATTACTTTAAGTGGAGCTCTATATTTTAATATAAATTAAGAAAAAAATTACAACAATTTTAGCGCAGGCTCTTTTGAGGGGGAAGTATTTCTATCCACTTCAAAAAATGGTCGCGAATTATAAGCAAATATCTATTTTCATAGTTTTTACTACGTAAATAAAGTGCAAGAAGATAATTTATATTAATTCATTACGAAAAGTGGCTTTTATGCTATTTAAGGGCCCGGCCGGGTTGTAATTAATATCGTCTAACTGGCAAATGTTACAAGACTTGACATACTGAGTAAAAAAAATTCTAGCTGTGAGAAAGAAAACAGCTTTTGCTTTTCATACCCTCTGAACTGTTTTTCTTATCCCGAGATGGCCTGAGACTGGCGAAACATGCAATTATTACAAAATACTTAATAACTCACTGGGATAAACGGTCTTAATTCTTTATAATTATTTGTTAATTTGGAATAAACAAAAGATTGTCAATAATCTTATAATTTTTAGCTCTAGTTCTAATAGCCAGAACATACTGGTGTCGAAAATGATCTAGATCTTTTAAATATGTATAAACATTTTTTAAATTCCGAGTCTGTTTGCAACTCTACAACAACTGTTTCGCGGGAATTCAAAACTTTTGAAGTTAACATAGCACATTCGACTTCCTACCCCTCGCCATCTAATTTTATTGTGGATAGAGCATCTGCTACTATATTTTATTTCCCGGGAGTATGTTTAATTATTAATTCGTATTCTTGAAATTTAAGAGCCTGTCTTATGAGTCTTGATTATAAACATTTATGGGTACCTTGCCAATATAAATTCGAAATTTCTGAAAAGCCAAAAGAACTGCTAAAGTTTCCTTCTCTGCACTGCTTTAATTTCTTTGAGCTGAATTAAGTGTCTTACCAAAATATGCAAATGTTTGTCCATCTTGCATAAACACAGTTCCTACCGCAAAATTCGCAAACGTTTTTATACAAGACAGAAAAGTAAATTATGTACAGGAATGAAAACCATATGTAATTTTCGGAAATTGTGTGTTGACGCGCTACATCTGGCTTTTTAACAAATTGATGTTTAAAGCTAAATACAAACAAACAAAATTTACATTAATAAGATATGTGATCACCCAATACTTGACACAAACTTTACAGCAATTAACCATCCTTAAATGCGGTGATCAACAATCGCGGATGCTAGCAATAGCCAATCTTCCGTTTTGACAGTTTCCAAATGTTAGAGACCTGATAAGATATTTCTCTCACCTTCTTGGAATGCCTTCGTGCTGTGGTGGTCTGCACGCTGGGCGCATATTCCCGAGGTCCGCGGTTCGATTCCCGGCGAAGGCGTTTGCTCATTTTTCATCTTTCCTGCTTCAGATTAACCTAATGTCTCTACAACCTTTGTTTTTTACTTTTACACTCATACTGCATCAGCCATCCATTGGGCTTAATTAGCATCTAGACCATTAAACTTCACTATCAGAACTATTTATTAACTTATTCATTAAGATCTAATCCCTGGGCCTTACCTTTAACGACAAAACAAAGACGACATGACTATGTCGAGCTATTGAACCGGGTAATTACTCAAGATTGATGAACTTGGAAAAAGGACATGCCTTCTTAGTGTTATAAATTATTTACTAAATAAAAAATTTGTAACTTTTATCTACTGCATGCAGAGACGATGGTGCTTGTATTTTTATGAGTCATGAAGGAAAAGTCTTGGTGCTGAATGTATTTATCTCGCGAAAATAAAAGAGGAGTAAGGGAAAACGGGGAAATGAACGGGGTAACATGAAATATATACATATTTTAGCGAGTGAAAACGGAGAAATTTAGGGGCAGAGGGAAGTAGAATAGCTACAAATTATACTAGTGGAGCAATAAGGAGCGAAAAGGCAGGAAAACGTAATGCCATATAATTAATACATATACCGCTAATGCAGGTTTGATATGCGTGGATTAGTATAATAACTAAACTGAGAAGTCTATGTTACCATGTCCTGTAATGACAGTTGACCCATTAAAATATACATGTTAGAAACAAAATAATACATTATTACAGTACTGAAATGAAAGAAAACTAAATAGCAGTGCAGAGACAAGCACGCTCAATGACATTCCAAAGAATTAATGTCGAGGGAATCTGGCGGATATTACAAATGCTCTTATTCACCAGATACTCATCAACGATGTTTCCTCGATGGAAACGGACATTATCGTCCATAAGTTGGAAATCTGGATCAATTGTTGTAACATACAGTCTCACAATGGGGTGTGGGAGTTCATTCCGATAGAACGAATCCTTCACAGAACCGTCTTTAAAAGATGTGCAGTTGGGTGCGATATCTCATTAAAATTCTAGCCCACACTATGATGCTACCAATTTTGAATTCGTGACGCTCGATGAAGCTCTAAACCTGGTCCCATGTACCTTGTTGTCTGTAGGTCATTGCACGTGAATCATCTGATTACAGGGTAAATATGGACTCGTCGGTGAACAAAATGCTGCGTCGGTCTGAAAATGTTCAGTTGAGATGTTGAAGATGTCTCTTTAGTTCTGCTTCTAAGGATTGAAAGGCTAATGACAAGCACTTGGTATTCGGAAATATAGTCCTTTCATGCAATAGGAAGTAATAGTTATGGGGGTCGTTTGAAGATACTGCTTGGCTACTATAGCAAAATACTGATCTTCAAAAGGGGTGATAACCTTTGGTCGATCGGACACAGATCTCCGGATAGCTAATTTTTTTTTTAAATTGCTTTGACATTCGTGAAATTAACGTATGATCAACGTGAAAGAAAACAACGACATCTTTGATTGAATTCCTGTTTCAATGTGCCTGACAGTATACGATGGTTCAGCGTCTGCATTCATCATCGCCCAGCAATAGAAACACTGATATCATAGAAAATTACCTTAAATTTAAAATTACTTTAGAAATTTCAGCATTTTGTTTTATTTGTTGTCATAAGTATAAATTTTATTCACTTTTCATCGGACTTGCACATTCAATTCATTACGAACCCATACGCATGCAACACATTTTGGTGCCAGGAGTGGGGTTTGAATGCCAATAACTAGAGCGATGGAAGAACAATTGACTCAGTTGATAACTGCATTTACTGCATTCCAAGAAAAGATGGAAGCTGGCCAAGCATCCTTTATAGAAAGATTCCGTTAAAGAGGGATGAAAGCAGTCAAAGAGAGATGGATGCTGGTCAAGAAGGAATGAAATGGGCCAAGAATCTGTTAGAGAGAAATGAAAGCCGTTCATGA